ACACACACACACACACACACACACACACACACACACGCAGTTCTAACCTGTGCTAGAGGGTTGCTATGAGTTCGATGGCAGTGAGCTTTTGTGTTTCGCTTTGTTTTTTAAATTACGTTTTAAACAGGACAAAGAGAAACCACCTGGATGAGGGAGATGGCCTCCAGGAAGCCATGATGGCGTCTAAAGCATTCACAGGGAAGGAGGATGCCGCCATCACCGTCGTGAGTGGCAGCCGGTCCAGCCGGAGGCCCACAGAGGTACGTGATTGCGGATCAGAACGTCTCCCAAACTGGTTGCGGGGCCCGTGGTAGGCCTCATGACCACGTGGCTCTAGTGCTCCAATTCCCACCCTGGGGTGCCCAGGCCAGTCCTGGACACTGCCCCTCCTCGTGCAGGCCAGGGGAGCCACAGCGAATAAACTCAACAGGGTGGAATCACGTGGAGTCTCTACACGGGCTTAGGGCCCCCCTTGGAAGCTGTAGCCTCCCTCAGGTTTCAAGCTCTGATACGCAAGGTACAGGGTAGAACTGCCCCGTGAGTTTCTAGGACTGTAACTCTTTACGGAGTAGATAACCTCGTCTTTCCCCCTCGGAGGGGCTGCTGGCTTCAAACCGCTGACCTTGCTGATGGCAGCCCCACATATAACCACTACACCACCAGGGCTCCTGGCCGTTCACTACAGATCAGTGAATAAGGGTTAGGTTTCTGGGATGGTTCCCCTGGGCTCTTGCTTCTGGGCACTGAAAGAATTCATGTGGCAGAAGCACTTGTCATCCAAGTCACTTTTATGATGGACAGGGACGTTTCGGGTAGTAACAGCTCAGATCGCACACGCTCTCCCTGGAAAGCGGGCAAGGCTGCATGGCTGTGGGAGGGGTCACAACCGGAAATGTCCACTTCAGGCCACGTGGAAGGAGCGTGGGAACAAGCGTGCAGGACAGGAGAGCGACTGCCTGTGGCCTCTGCTGTCTGTCCCCCACCCCCACTGGAGGGCTGGGGTGGAGGGCCTTGGCCATTCTTGGTGGTTAAGTTCAGGTGCACTCATGATGTGATGTTGCTGGGGCCTAGTGGGTATGTATACCCAGGTTGACCTTCACCTGTGTCTAGGTGACCTTCGTCTGCGAATGCCCAGCTGTGGAAGCTGTCTTCCCCATCGGTGTCTCGTGTGTGTCTGATTCCTTTCAAGTCCCTTGATTGGGGTGTGACCAGCTAATTTTCGTTTAATGCAGGCACTCGGTGGAGTAAACCCCCTCTGTCCCCAGTCTTCCTACCTCTCGTCAGCACAAGTAAGCCTATGTTTCCTGGGTCTCCCCTGTCCTATGCCCCAAACGCCACTGCCATCGAGTCCGTTTCCACCCAGATCGCCCCCATGCTGTAACGCCCCTGTGAGTCTGGATCTATTCAGCGGCAAGGGGTGGGGTTTGGCTTGATCTTTATGGAGACCCGGGGGCCCAGGGCCACACACTGAGCTGCAAACCGCAAGGCCAGCAGTTGCAATCCCGCAGCTGCTCTGCAGGAGGAAGATGAGGCTTTCTGCTCCCATGAAGGGTGTTCGGCCCTGTCCTACGGGGTCACTATAGTGCTGGGGTCGACCCAGTGGCAGCGAGTTTGGTTTGGGTTTTCCTGTCGTGGCTGTGGAAACTGAGGCAGAGGATAGAGCAGAAAGGGGAGAGGAGCGGTTGAGGAGGGGTGGCCCTGCTGGGCAGGGGCTTGGTCACTTGAAGCCAAGAGACGGCCCCCAAATTCACTGCCAGGGAGTTGATACAGACTCATCAAGACCCTACAGGACACGGCAGAACTGCCCCTGTGGGTTTCCTGAGACTGTAAGGGACCCCAAAGGGGACCGTTTGAAACCGAGAGAGGCCAGCTCGCCCTGTTTCCTCAAGATCTGGATACCACGACGGTAGAGGCGAGTGCACTCACAGCCCTCTGGGTCAAGCCACCCCCTTCCCCAGCCGCAGAGCCTCCTCCTGGGCTGGCAGCTGAGAAGACAGGAAGGGAGAAGGCAGCCACCTCCCGTGGGCTGCCACGCCCACCGCCTCTTCTGGGAAAGGCTGGGGCAGTTTGCCGGAATTTTCCAATCAGCCAGAACCCTTTCATTGTCTGTTTAGAACCTCAAAAGCCAGAGGTGACTAATGAGCCGGAAGGAGAGGACGGAACACAGAACAACAAACAAGCCTTCACGACCAGCTCTAGACCTCCCCCACACCCCCAACGGAGTCTGCCGGCTCCCCAGCCCCGGCTCACCCTCCGGGATCCACACTAAACCTTTGGGAAATTCATACTGGCACACGGGTGCCACGCGGAAAGCAGGTGTCGCCAGTGTCATGAACGAGCTAGGTGACCCTGAAACAGTCTTGGGGGTCTGTCACCAGTGTCATGAATGAGCTAGGTGACCCTGAAACAGTCTTGGGGGTCTCTGAGGGTCTCGTTTCTGGATGGTTGACCTGGTCTACATCACAGGCACTGGACCAGGCTCACACGATGTGACGGCTGTGGTGAGAAGGCCTCCCTGATGCCCTTCAAGCTGTGTCCCCACCCCCTCGGTGTCACCACTGGATTGTCCACAGCAGGAGCGGTGCACGGAGTTGTTTACTAAAGACAGATGAGAAAGTGTGTATGGGGGGCGTAGTGGGGAGTCTATGACCCAGTAAATATTGGCAACTCTCTGCTATTTACTAAATCACCGCACACAATCAAAACACATTTCTGTTCCCTCCCAGACAGTCTGGTTTCTCTTCACAGTCCTTTCTAGTCTGTTCCTTGGCCCCCAAACCACTGATCTGCTCA